GTCAAATGGTCATCATTTTACAAAAATAACGACTTTTACACAAAGTTTACCTGAGAATGTAAAAATTTACAAGTATTTGAGCTTTACCTGAGTTTCACAGTTGTGGAGTTTGCCCCCCTCCCCCCCACACACACACACACTCCCCTGTCTCTACGCCCCTGCTGATCTTAGATCAGATATAATAATACATATTATTTACATCTGGACTAGATATCCAAAAATAAACTGCACCTACAGTTGCATCTCCTAGTTTAATAGATCTAATAAATGTAAAATAATACATTTTCACTCAATTACTTCCATCTAGCTAGAAGATCCTTCAACTGTATGTAAACAGACTGAGCTTCCACGCTAGTAACTACTAGACTATATTAATATACTGTAAAATAGTCCAGCCTGTTTTCTGTGTTAAGTGTAGTTAAAGTTTTATACCTGCAAGTGGACAGGGCAGTTGTAGTACTGTTGTAAAATATGCCAACAATGGGCTATGCCAACTATTACCCACATAACGGTATATTAAAATTCAAGATCTGTGCAAGAACGTTTGATTATAAACAGGATTATATAAACTCACTATATAAAGCTTTATATGAAGCATGATCTAAATCTCCTTGACCAGAAGCAGAGTCCAGAGCAGACATGAATAGCAACACGATAGCAATGACAATGTTTTAATAATATAATATGAAATGACAGATTCACAAATTGTAAACATAAATATCGACTGAAATAACAAAAGTTAACTTACCGTTTGCTGTGAAAAATTCATTCGAGTATTTCTACCAGCGTTGTCAACTGTAATTTTGCTGAGTGAGGCATCTTCCAGTATTAAAGTCGTTTAATAGTTGTAAGATACCTTTTCTGTGACAACTGGCATTTTAATATCATTGCCTCATGCCATCAACGACAGTTTCCGAACGCAGTCGACAAGTTCCGTCACAACTTCACAACTCTTACAGTTTTTAGCGTTACATTGTGGCTAGCCCGCGAACGGGCTAGCCACAAAAAACCTACTTAAATGGTTGCAGCAGCATATCCTGTTGTCTGTTATGTATTTTTCTTCTCTTTTAAATTCTTTATTTTAACACAAAGCCACGAAAACAGTTGTTTAAATAGTATAAATTTGTGCCGCCATTTTGTTTATTTATGTACGTAGCCGGTCGGGGCGGGCAACAATTTTTCACTTATTGCCCGGGCGGGATACATTGCATTTATCTAAAGTCACGTGACTACAAATCAGCCAATCACGTTTGGTGTTCACACTAGCTATATAACAAGCACACTTCCCTTGCGGAATTGTGAAAACATCGTAAAATGCAGAATTCTTGCCTGTTGCTAATACGGTAATACCCTGAGTAATGTTTTCAAACAATTAAAAGGTTTACTACCAGTACCACGTATCGCAGTGCACCGCAAACTTCAATTTTCATTATTTGAAGGTAAGTTCGCCACGTTTTCGACAACTACGTAGTTAATTCATGTTTGAATTTTAATCAAGGGAGCACAGCAGTATTCTTTTCGAGACTTGCGTACCTGTATGTCTGTAAAATCTGTGAATAGGTAGTCTTTGTATAACTTTCGTAATATTTTCGTATAAATATTATCGACCTTCGACGCGCATGCTTTGCAGGCTATTTTCACATGGTCGCCCGCTGTACATTGTATCGCATGTAACAGTTTTGTAAATATGCACGAAAATTACAATAAGAAATAGAGAAGAGTGAAACTGTGGGCACGTGATCAATATTAACCAATAGCATTTGGGGATTTGAGAACCGTTTTCTCCAAGGTTTGTAGCAAAACCAAACGGTTACAATCAGATAGAGTCGAATGTAAACACCTACCAAAAACGGATTTGTTCACAATTCGTAAACTTTTCAACTCTGATTTCTTTTTAAATGTATTATATGCTGCTTCTACTTCGAGAATCAGTTGCCCATAGCATATTCGAGAGTGGTAATAATATAAATTTTGTCATTATTTACGTACTGTATATTAGTTATATTAAACACAAATATTCCCGTTTTAGCATATCGTATGCTGGTTTTTACGTGATAATTTTGCATTAGCATATTTAAAAATGGCTTTGATGTTATAAAGTAACACAAAATATATTAATCAAAATCATGACGAAATGTCGAAATTTGACCCCATTGTTTAGTATAAATGTACTGAAATATGATACAAATATATGGCATACTACGATCAACCACAGTTTGGATCAACTCACGTGTAAATATGTGAACTGAAGCCTAGATTGCTTAATTCCACAATTATATCTAGAAGCGGCCTGTGCCTAGCAACAGTTACTGTGCCTAGCAATTTGCTACAGCGTCTGTCGAAAGATTTTACCGGATGTACCCACAGTTTCACTCCCCTCTATTTCTTATTGTAATTTTCGCGAGTATTTACAAAACCGTTACATGCGATACAATGTACAGCGGATGACCATGTGAAAATAGCCTGCAAAGCAGGCACGTCGAAGGGCGAAAATATTTATACGAAAATATTACGAAAGTTATGGTATTTAAAAGTATTTCAAAACATTGTTTTAGTGTTTATATGCAAATTAGCAAACCAAAGGAGACAAAGACTACCTATTCACAGATTTTACAGACATACAGGTACGCAAATCTCGAAAAGAATACTGCTGTGCTTAAGGTCTGTATTATTGCTGGTCAGCAATCGAGTTTTTGCCGAAACAAAAACACTGATGACCGATTGATTTCATTGAAATTACAGAACGGTAGCTACATGTGTCTCACCTGAAATATTCTTGGGATTTCATTCTTATCCGCCCGAATTACATCTCCCTGAGACACTGGTCTTGCATGGAAAAGTTTACTGCAAGAAGGAATGCAACAACATGTTAATATGACATATTATAATATAGCATTTGTAAATTCTGAACGCTGATTGGCTAAGAGCCGTGTTGATATAACTCAATGTCAACACGGGAAATTTCCGCAGCTTGTAAACACGGAAATTTTTCTTATCCTTCGGGCTTTTTACATTGCTATATTATAAAAAAAATATAAAACATTTTTTCCGTATTGATATATAGCTATATCAACACTCGTGGAAGTTGGGAAAACTAGAAATTGTATGAAAACACTCCGCCCTTCGGGCGTCGTGTTTCCATACAATTTCTCGTTTTCCCAATTCCACTCGTGTTGATATAATTGTATATCAACACGGAAAATGTTTTATATTTGTTAAATATAAGTCATCGTCATTGTTCCAGTGTTAATAACTTAATATAGGAGGAAATCTATCCTAAACCATCTTTATTTATACTGGATAGCTTTATCAGTTGTATAAACTGTTCTCCATAGGGGTCCAGTAAGAGTCATCTATTACTGATTAAAGTATCTTTATTTATACTGGATAACTCGAGCAGTACTAAATTGTTCTCACTAGAGGTCTAGTAAGAGCTGTATTATTAGTATTACGACGGCAGGAAATCTAGACATGTCCACCAACCTCAACAAATGCGTCCTTTTTTCGGAATCGATATTAAATTTACCTTATATCAAGGATCATATTTGGCGCAGCGCTGGATTTGTCAGCTTCGTTGTTGTAAAAGAAGATTTTTCGGCTGCTTATAATCACATACTGAAATAAAAATTAATGATTTATCAGTAAAATAATGGAAAAGAATGACTAATACGGTTAACTAAAAAAACTAAATTAAAATATTAGTTCGATTCTAGTTTGAAGCTCTATCAATTCAAAACTATTCTTCGTAGAGACCCGTAGAGTGTTTATACTGGATAGCTTTATCATATCTCTGGATATCCACATAGTTTATGCATATGTTACAAGCAAAACAGATGAATTTTCAGCTGCTTGTAGTTACTTAATCGTATAATTTCCTTGTAGTTACTTAGATAATGTAAGGACAATCAATAGTGCTACAATCGGACACTTGACTTCACGATATGTTGAACGTATTTCCTCCCCCGCAGGGCATACAGCCCGTAATGAGTATGCCCGTTCGCAGGTTAAGGATTGTGTAGCTCTATTAAAGGCCTGCTGAAAAACCTGTCGTCTGATTGGCTTATAGTGACGTTTTAACGTTTACTCGGTTGGACCAAATTTCTTCAAAAATATGGCACATCGTCTGCCAATCTTCAGCAATCCTGTTTTGCAAGTCTTTGCTAAATACATCTTGGCAGTTATGGCTGATAAAAGCGACGAGAAGCTTCAAAGAATGGAAGGTTTTACAAGCAGAAGCGACAGTGATATAGACGTCGTGAATCTATCATTTGGACAAATGGGTTTATAAATTATGCATGTTTTGACTATATCCACAAGCAAGCATTTAAATAGTTAAACTGCACGAAAGACAAATATAAATGGAATAAAGTTCGTGTATAAACCACATGCCTGACATACGACGTATTCTATAAAAGCGTATTTGTCTGTTTTAGAATTATGCAAATTAATTAACTGATATTTATCTGCTTCTCTTTATAAATCAATGTATGCTTGTTTATTCAATATCCATTGTTTTTTATGTATTTTGAGGATACGAAAAGCGGTCTATATCACGAGCAGTTACTATAACGACTTTATATTGATCTGGTAATGATATAATAATTTGGCTTGCGGCTTCAGCCATCTTGGAAAATTAGTCCGCAGGCCTTTCCGTTTGTTTCCCACCAATTTTCACCCGCCCGAAGTTTTCGCCTCCCTGATTTTTGAAAGGCCTGCGGAGGAGGTAGTCAACGTACCTGTTTCTTCCAGCCATATTTCTTAATATTTCGCCTATTCGGAATGGCCAACCAACCCTCTTTGGCTAATGATCCTGTTCGACCAAACAAAACAAAAATGTTGGCGAGATCTAACATTTGTTACTATTTCCATTAAACTTCATCTTGTGTTGGCCCACCTAACCGATTTGTTTTGGCGAGCCAACCGCCAATCAGTCCCGCAAGAAAATTGAATTAGTTCGGGTACCCAGGTTAGTTCACCTCCTATATATAATCATGCCACAGAATGACTCTGAATAAATATTCCTCAAAATTTTCTTCTTTGAAAATTCAGTGAGGGCAAGTTTGTCTTCATCGTCATTCTGTAGTGGTTATTTACATATGAGAAAACAAACACAACCAAAAAAGGGTTAGTGTAACGTCCTGTTCATATGAGCCCACGCAACTAACCGGGAAACTCACCTGAGAGAGATCTGTATGCCTTTTGTTAAGTTGTTAACGTATATATAAAATTCAATTTGTGTTCATATGAAATACAGTGGCTCCCATGCAGCTATAGGTGAGATCTCACTCTGCGCTAGGTGGGCTCACAGTCATGCAAGTGGCATAACATTTTCGATATGAAGGTTTTATCCCACTCCTGATCCCACCTGAGCGCATTTTGACTTATAATATAGTATTGCATGGGCGTATGGGCCTACAATATAGTTTGCCCGAACAGGCAAACTGAACATTAATATTTCTCCCCAAGCGAGCGGGGGGGGGGGATGTCACCAAAAAAAATTTTCCGGACATACCAAATACTTTTCTACAAACATACGAAAATTTTGCCGGACATGTCAGAAAATTTTCCCTAACATCACATAATTTTCGCAAAGATACAAACATTTTTTCAGGACATATCAAATTTTTTCCGAAATTTTTATGTTTTGCCCGAATTTTGCATTGATGTTTGCCTGACCGTAAAAATTTGGGCGCATTGCCCCGCCCATACGCCTATGTAGTATTGAACGGAATAGTTGGAAAATACAAACAAAAAATAAACTTTAATAGACCTAAACAGACACTATTAAAATCGTGATACAAGGCGCAAAAATATTTCGAAGACGACAATGCTAACATAATGACGTGATAATGTCGTCCTAAAAACAGTCATATGAACAAATTAATAATTAATTCCACTCCGGCGAGTATCCCGGAAAACCAGAGTCATATATGAACATGCCTTACAGGTAAGGAGTTAATATGAATACCGGGTGAGAAGTAGTTGGTTAGTACTGTATGTTATACCATAGTCTCAGTGGCGAAGCCAGCCCGACAATTTGGTCATGCTATGCAAATTATAAACATTATCATCATTCATTTCTTTAGAAATTGATTGTTTTTACGGTCTATGAACACGGAAATATTTGCATAGCATGACTAAACTGTCGGGTTGGCTTCGCCACTGCATAGTCTGTCAAAATATGATGGTCGGGAAGCCCGACAAACCTCAGAGCTACAAGATAGAAGACCTTAGTTTGATGTTAAACTGTGCCTCACCGTGCACAAATCCTTGGTCTCAACTTCATTAAAAATTATTCACAGTGGTTGCACGTTTCATCTCAGCTATCGCTATTGCTATTGGACAATTGCTTCATTATACGAATTAACAAATTAATGCACAAATTAATATAAATTCAGAAGAAGAAAAATATAAGACAATCACTTCTGTTAACTTTCCAGACAGACATATCTTGACAGGCTATGGTTGTATTTGACAGACAACATAACAGGTGAAACATGTCCAAAAGAAGACAGTAAAGTGATATAATCCCAAGATACCTGGAAGATCTTCAGAATTGTTTATACTCAGAAGTCCTGAGTCGGCGACCTGTTTTAATTGTGTCAACTGAGCCTGCAGTTGTTCTATTAATAAATCTTTAGAATCATTCTCCATCTATAAACGATACAAAAAATAACAGCCTATAGTTCCTAACTTTGGAAATAGTTTAGTAAATTCAAAATACCCCGGTGATAACATTAAACCAATTTTCTCTAAACTCACCTCTATTTTTTGGATACAGTCATTTTCGTTTTGAATCGTCTAAAATAAGAGACACTACAGTGAAAACCCCACTTTTTATGTTAGGCTGAAGTGGTTCTTATACGATAGGTACTTAGTGAGAAATCAGGCTATAAGTTGGTTTTTATCAAGATTTTTTGGCATAACTGGACTGAATAACAACAGTTGAAGAGTCTTGTAGATGAAATTATGGAGTGGAAATTTACATACATTTATTAGACCTAACCAGTATAGTAATGACGTCATGTCATTCACTCGGCACCAGGACTATACGGTCTGAGCTAATTATAGAAATAGACATAGGAAACGTTGTGTAAAAGAACACACTGAGACAGCAATCAGAACTATATCATTATGCTATGCTAAATATAGCACAAATATATACTTAGTACTTAGATATTACATTGGCGACGAGGATGGAAATTCTATGGCCAGTGACAGTGATCACGAAGGAGAGCATCAATCTAATACTATTCGCCCAATGCCCGAGTTTAATCCCGACGCTGAAATTGGGGCGAGCGCGACACGTTAATTGGAAAAACTGGGTCGCAGACTTTGACATGTTTCTCCTGGCTAGTGGCGTTACAAATATTAAACGACAAAGAGCCTTTCTGTTATACCAAGCTGGCTCAAGAGTGCGAGAAATCTTTAAACAACTGCTGGACATTGGCGAAGACAAAGACTATGCATGATGTTGCCAAATCCCTGGTGGGAATCGAACCTGCGGCCCTATGATTCTGGCGCTATAGCGCTGCCTCAAAAGCCTCCAAATTTAATAGGACCGGTTCACAAATGTTCTATTATGGACTGGTTACCTCGTTGCCAAAGCAATGCAGTAAACACGGCGTTTTGCGGACCGACACGTGATACGCTTTTGCCCAATCGGAAAACAGAAACATTGAATATTTTTTTAAATAATTTCTTAAAACACTTAAAATCCTTACGTTTCACAAGCTATATACAGTATTGTGAAATCAATAATAGAGAGTTTAAGATCTACGACGCGGCCGGCTCAACGACGCGGTCTGAATTTCAGCTAAAAAATGAACGCTAAGCAATTTCATTACTGTAATAAATGTTTGACGATTTTCAAATAACATTACAAACTGCTAAGTTTGACCATGGATAATAAAATAAATGGATAGGAAACTAGCTGACGTGACCTAATGTTTTTACTAGGATTGATGGCGTGGTTGGATGCCTCAACCTAGTTGAAAATCAAATTCTCAAAAACGGCATGTTTAGCAATAATACAGCTAAACATTTTAGTCAAAGAGCAAATAAATGTAACCACGCTATTCTACGATGAAAACTCTAAGTATTCCCAGTCAATTTTAGCAAATATTTCAAGCACTAAACAGTGAAAAATACATCGCAAATTTTGCTAAAATTTGTGACGCCAATTTCGTAGCTACAAATGTAAAAAAATTCAAAACAAAGACGAAAAACATTTACCTTGAATACTTTGTCGTGGCTTAGGCATGTTTTTAAAGCAATTAGACCAGTTTACGCTTCAAGATCACCCTTTTAAAGTGGAAAATATAGCAAAAAAAACAAATATGCCGAGAACTTTGGTAACATTCGCAATACGCGTGACGTCACGTTTTTCAACAAGGATGCAGTCAGTGACGTCAGAAGTTTCCAATCCATTTATTTTATTATCCATGGTTTGACTAAAGCGATGCAATGTTTGCTGTAATTTCGACTTTAAGTATCACCTTTTGGGTCGCAATAAGCTTCGCGTTGCTTGAAAGACGTGATAATGCTTAGTTTAACGTTCTGCTGAGCATGACAAAGCCGTTGACAATACCCCTGGGACCACAAATTTATTCACAGTTTTTGTCTTGCATGACAGATTTCTTTCTTTCGCAAGCGCGTCGTTGAGCCGGCCGCGTCGTAGATCTTAAACTCTCTATTAATTCACGAAGAAAACACAAAAGAAGTCATGAACATGCATATTTACATAAACTGTACGTTCAATTTTCTCACCAAATATCATTCATTTATTTTAAATTGTTGGGGAATACGAATGTTTTCATCAAGACGTTTCACAGGCCAGTTAGAACATTCGAGTCCATGTTGTAAATAGTAATTCTGCGTCCCTGCATGTTGTATCAGACATACAACCTCTCATCCTTCGGCTTGAGATTATATATCTGATACAACGCCATGAACGGCCGCTCATGGTGTTTAAATTGCATATAATTACATATAATGCCATCATGTAACTTTTTGTTGTCGGAAAGCTCTGTCAGTTCTACATTGAACTACCAAACGATGGGGGAAACTTACGTTTTGTAGCTCTAAGATTTGAATTTGATTTCTGTTCACCATCGCTGTGTACTTTTGTTTTTCCTGTAAGAAAGTGCAACCAACTATTACATCAGACATGGTACCACAGTGCAGTGTCCTGGAACATGCGCAAAACAAGCGCAAACACATACTATTTTTGAATAAATACCAAGGCTTATGATTCCGAAAAAACTAACAAACTCATACAGGAAATGAATATAAAGCAATGCATGACGATTGAGAGTGGAAATTTCATATTTGGCTTAAAGTTCGTAAAATTATTATGGTTTAGACATAATCTTCTGATTGTGTTTCATTTTTTTACTTCCACTACAGGTACTGCAACAATTAACCAATCAACTGTGTTTAAAATACCAAATTGACCGATCAGATGCGTATTGATCCAGTGAGAGGCTGGATCATGCAGGGTGAAATTACAAAAAATGATTGATAATCATTATTAATTTAAATTAACGAGGTCAGTTGGTATCAAGTTTTTGTTATATATAGATTCCTTGAGTACCCATAATGTAGAATGAGGAAAAAGAATACTCGAACTCAAATTTTGTAAACAACCAGGGGTTCTTTTCCAACACACTAAAAATGGCTTGCGCACGAAATTTAAAAGCTTTAATCGTATTTTGAGTTAATGGATGGAACATTTGTTGTGTTTTTAATTACTTGTGCAAAATTTCAGACAATAAGGTAACTATTCATTTTTTTCCTAAAAAATCATCCTTTTGGATGCTTAATTAATGCCTTTACCTATTTTGTATATTGCTGCAATATGCAAATTAGGCTAAGGCAATCACTTTTTTAGGGAAAAAATGTAAGTTTGCGTGGATAGTTAAAGGAAGGCCTTAAACTGAATAGAGATATAGCGTGGAGTTCGAGATAGCTGGGAGTTCGAGATAGCGAGGAGTTCGAGATAGCGAGGAGTTCGAGATAGCGTGGAGTTCGAGATAGCGTGGAGTTCGAGATATCGTGGAGTTCGAGATAGCGTGG